CCCGTCATTCAGCATTTATTACATACTTTTGAACCTGGCACTATCTTTGCCAAATTGGACATGTCTCAAGCATATCAACAGTTCCCTGTTGATGACCAAACGGCAGAACTTCAGACCATTGTCACCCACAGGGGTGCCTTCCGGTGCAAGCGTCTCCAGTTTGGCGTAAGTGTTGCCCCAGGCATTTTTCAATCCCTCATGGAGCGGATTTTACAGGGCCTTCCTGGAGTAGTACCCTACTTCGATGACATCTTAGTCTCGGCCAGGAACAGACCCCAACTCTTCCAGAGAGTTCGAGCAGTCCTAGAGAGGTTCAGGCAGCATGGCCTCAAGTTAAAAAAAGAAAAATGTGCCATTGCCACTAGACAGGTGGACTTTCTGGGTTATAAAATTGACGCCTCAGGCATTCACCCCCTGGAGTCCAAGGTTAAGGCAATACACGAGGCACCCACTCCAACCTCCAAAGCGGAACTGCAGGCCTTTTTGGGGCTCTTGAAATTTTACGCGTCGTTCCTGCCCCATAAAGCCTCTGTGGCAGAACCCCTCCACAGACTTCTGGATAAAAAAACAGTTTGGCATTGGGGACACAAAGAAGACTCCGCTTTCTGCACAGTCAAGTCGCTACTCACATCAGAGGCAGTGCTTATCCAGTTTGACCCCAACCTTCCATTAGTACTGGCAGCAGACGCATCTCCCTTTGGAATTGGGGCAGTCTTAAGCCACAGGCTCCCCAACGGCTCCGAGGCCCCTATCGCTTTTTTTTCCAGGACGCTCTCTGCAACAGAGCGCAATTACAGTCAGATCGATAAAGAAGCCTTGGCAGCTGTTGCAGCGGTGAAGAAATTTCACGAATTTCTCTTTGGCCACTTTTTCGAGCTAGTCACGGACCACAAACCACTCTTAGGGTTACTAGCAGGTGACAAGCAGACCCCTCAAATTCTGTCCCCCAGAATGACCAGATGGACCCTTTTCCTAGCAGCATACTCGTATAGACTCGTGCACCGCCCAGGTAAAACATTGTCCCACGCAGACGCCCTCAGCCGCTGCCCCCTGCCTGCCCCAGCTGAAGACCCTGCCCCGGTCAACGCCATTTTTGAAGTCACCCAACTGGACCTCCCAATCACTGCCCTTGATATTGCCAATAAATCCAAAGCGGACAAAACGATCGCCCAGGTACTGGACTGGGTGAGGAGGGGGTGGCCAGGCAGTGACATTGAAGCTAAATTCACTCCATTTAAGACCCGCTTACAGGAACTGTCGAGCTTACAGGGCTGCCTGCTGTGGGGCACTCGAGTGGTCATCCCGACATCTCTGCGTACCCGAGTGCTGGAGGTGTTGCACGAGGGCCACCCGGGCATCGTCAGAATGAAGGCGTTGGCGCGAAGCTACATTTGGTGGCCCGGCCTCGACGAGGACATCAACAAATGGGTAAGCTCCTGCCATCCCTGCCAGGTTTCCCGTCCATCCCCTCCAATTGCCACCCCCACCAAGTGGGAAAGTGCCAACGCACCCTGGTCCAGGATTCACATCGATCTTGCGGGCCCATTGCATGGCAAAATGTTCCTCGTGGTCGTAGACTCTTACTCAAAGTGGATTGATGTGGCACAACTATCCACGACCACTTCACAAGCAGTCATCAAGGCATTGACTCGCCTGTTCGTTACGCACGGTCTACCAGACTCCATTGTTTCCGACAATGGTCCCCAATTCGCGTCAACCGAATTCAGTCGTTTTACGGCCAACCTGGGCATTCGTCACATCTTCACGGCCCCCTTTCATCCTGCCAGTAACGGGCTGGCAGAGAGAGCTGTTAGGACCACTAAAGAAGCCCTGGCCAGGTTCAACAAGGATGACTGGCACCACAAACTATCCTGTTTCCTGTTAAGCCAGCATTCAACCCCTTGCACGGTAACCAACAAGTCCCCGGCCGAGCTTCTGATGGGCAGACGCCTGCGAACTGTATTGGACAGGCTTCACCCACATTACTGCCCTGACTCTCCTCTCGCTTCCACATCGGGGAGTAGGCATTTTGTCTTGCAGGAACCCGTGTTCGCGAGAAACTTCGCTGGCGACCCATTGTGGATCCTGGGAGAAATCGTAGCCATCACAGGACCCAGATCATACCGGGTTAAGCTGGAAGATGGCCGGGTCTGGAGACGACATCTGGACCAGCTTCAGAGACGCCAGGGCACCCTCGTCAGCCGCGACTCGTGGGCACAGACCGGTGAGAGTCCGCTGCAACTACCACACAGCAACATCTACCCCGATGACCTGCTAACACCTTCAGCCGGACCAGAGAATCCAAATGCTGACTGCGGCGACCTAGCGTCCAACCCATCCGAGCCAGACGGCGTGAGGACACTCCCAGCGTCCAGCCCTTCTAGCCCCGGACCTGCTCCGACCGAGGGTGGTACTCGGGACTCATCATCAAGCCAACAGTCACCGACGGACTCTGATCCACCAAACAGCACACCAGAGTTGCGCCGCTCTGGACGTCAGCACAAACCTCCCGTATACCTCAAGGACTATGCGTGTTCGCATCTGGGGGGAAGGGGTGTTATGTCCCTGGACCTTGAAGAAGTTCCCACCCAGGTCCGTTCACGCTGCAGGGGCAGCTGCCCCTTCTCATTGGCTGGGTTTCCCCAGCAGCCTGCTATAAAAGCAGGCTGCTGGGTCCAGCCCTTTCGCTGTTCGCTGCGAGCCAGTTCCAGGCTGAGCAAGCACGTTCAGTCCTTGTAAATAAACCTTGTTGCACTAAGCCCTGGTTCAGCCTCTTATTTCCCATACTTAATAGGAAGGGATTCAGCCAGTTCAGGCAAACTGGATATTAATTAATATTAATTTTACATCCAGTTCTCAAAACTGGTAATTCCGACAGCCAGCTGGTCCTGCCCCCCCCCATGCCCTGTTTTGGCTGCCAGGAGGCTCCAGGTAGGCTTTCCAGGACCAAAATGGGGCATGGGGTGTGTGTCCAGCACCCCCCCCACCCCCCCACCCATTTTGGCTGCCAGAAGGCTCCAGGGAGGCCTTCAAGGGAGAAAGGAAGAAAAAGAAAGGAAGAAAGAAGGAAGGAAGGAAGGAAGGAAGGAAGGAAGGAAGGAAGGAAGGAAGGAAGGAAGGAAGGAAGGAAGGAAAAGAAAAGAAAGAGAGAGAGAGAGAGACAGAGAGAGAGAGAGACAGAGAGAGAGAGAAAGAACGAGCGAAGGGAGAAAGAGGGAAAGGAAGGGAAAGTGAATGAGATCTGGATGGATGGATGGATGGATGGATAGAGAGAGGGTGGAAGGGAGAGAAAAAGGAGGAGAAGGAAGGACCACAAACCCCGGCACAAGCCACAACTTCAGTGGATGCTTTGAAACAGCACAGCAATCCAGGGCTAGAAGGGACCTCAGAGGTCATCTAGTCTAACCCCCTGCTGGAGACATCTGGGTTATTTTGGTACCTCACCCAGTCACATGACCACCAAGCCATGCCCACAGAATCGGTTGTTTAAAAATTTGAATCCCGCCCCTGGTCCTGCCATTCTGGAAGTACCTTTGTTGACAAAGTTTTGCCCTAGGATTCAGCATTTTGCCCAATTGAAGGTTACAAAGTATCAAACAGATACTAGAATTTTAGTAGTATATAGATTATAATTTTACTAATTTTGTGCATTTTTCAGACTTTATTAGACCCCTTGGTTAATATTTTGCAAACATTATTTTGTCACCACTGTGACAAACCATTTAAATCTGAGAAAGTCTACTGTATGTAATCAATGGACATTCTCTTTATGAATATCTGTTCCTTCCAACAAAGCAGAAAATACGGGTGTGGGGGTGTGGGGTGTGAGTGTGTTAAGTGTGCTTCAATCTCACAGAAATCCCTCTGCATCTCTTTAGAAATCTGCTTAGTAAAAGATAACAGGCAAAAACGTCTTAGCTTTTTAAACGGCTCATTCAATAATTCCAATGAAAGAGAAAAGGCTTTCGGAATCACCCTTGTCTATGTATTCAAAAGTGCTTAAAAAGAAGCATCTTGCAACTATTGAAGCCCATAAGTAGAAAGTAGATAATTTTTAATAATGGAAGAACGGAGGGGTATTTACTATTCAAGGTATTTACTATTCCATTACTTTTAAGGTCTGGCCAGCAGGTTTTGTGTTATAATTTAGTATCAATCTAATACCTTTAAATCTGCTTTGAATTAAAATTCTTCAGGCGTTGTGTTTTAACTGTGGGCATCTGAAGTTAACGCTGAACTGGGGAGGAGTCAGGATACAGACCACAGCAATACAGGGAACCTAGATTTCTTTTGCCAGAGCTCTGCTAATTTAAATGATAGCTAATCTAGTTAAAATAACACTTGAACCCTCTCAAATAGCAGACACGATCATAATTAGAACTAGCCCATGAGTTATTTCTAGACTTCTCTGATTAGACACCAGCATATTTATAATGCTTTTCTCATATTACCAAGAAGTTTAATAATGATGGTAAAATATTGTATTGAATATACACACAAGTTGTTTAATATACTGTTTTATTCTCTCTCTCTCTCTCTCTCTCTCTCTCTCTCTCTAACACACACACACACACACACACACACACTTTTCTCAATTTTTCTAATATTATTAAATCTGCAAACAATATTTTGGCAGAAATACTTATATGTCAAGAAACCTCACACAATATCCTGAGAGAAACCATGAATTCTATATAAACAACTAGTTATGTTAACAGAATATTTATATCCTGTGAAAATAAAGCAGAAAATAAATATTCTGAGCACAAGTAAATACTTGGCTAAGACTGTTTTTGGGATAATTAAGAAAGAGGAATGAAATAGACAAAAGTATAAGCACTCTGTTAATAAAAACCTTTAACAATTTTTTAAAGAATGATAATAATCAGTAGGAGCTTTTAAAAATGGCAGCAAAATATGAAATAATATTTCTTAATGCTTAATATTAAATAAATATAATTAAATATAATCAGTGAAGAAGCAAAATAGATCATACAAACCTTTCAAATCTTCAGGACACTTTGTGAAGAATTTCATGCAGGATAATGGGACTCTTCAGCATAACCCTTTTCTATTTAAGAAATCAGAAAGTTTGAGCTGCTTTAGCTATTCATTCAAGAAAGCTTGGTCCACAGTAAGTATTGAGATAATCATGGCCCCTGAGTTACATCTGTCTTCTCTGACTATCCAATTCCTGTCCTTCTCATCTATATTTGGCAACTGAACTCATGTTTCAGTGAACTGCCACTATCTGGAATTTCCGCATAATAGACTTGAGCCTAGAAGAACGAATAAGTTTGAATAATGTTTCAAACTTAAACATTCAATAAAACTTGAATAGCTTGCTGCTGATTATAACAAATCATATTCTTGCTGATAACCATATTCTTATTTACTATTGAAGAATTTTAAAATGTGACACAACTAGAGCTATCTATAAGAAATGTTTTGCATAGTTCTGGTATTAGAAAACAATTCATCCTTTATGCTTCTTTACCAACATGTCTTTTTGGAAAACAAAAGAAGGAAATAATATTAGCTTTGTATGCATTTTTAATCTTAAGAACCTTTTACATCAGTAGTTTATATTGTGTTAACACTCTCGCAATAAAAATGACTCAATAAAATCTTATTTTGTGATATCAGAGAGTACCTAGTAGATTAATGCATGAAACTGACTATGCCTGTAAATGTCTTTTAACATTTTCATAGCTGTATCCCTTCTTTAACACTGACGTACACCATATGACTACATTTTAATTTCTGAATCTCTAGTCTTATATACCTGAGAAAAAGTCCCATACTGGAATTTATTTTAGAAGAATGCACTTTAAACATTTTTATTCCTTTTGCATTTTCCTCTCTTTTAAGCATAGGTTTATTAAATATTATATTAAACAAGTAACACAAATTACAATAAACAACTAAACAAATGCAAATCCTAATTCTTTTTAAAAAAGAAAATATATTTATAAAGTACAGAAACCCCATCCCCAATAAAAGAAAAAATAAGAAAAAATAAACCAATAAGTACTGTATATTCAACACTAACAACTTACCAATATCTCTTAAAAGGCAACCAAGACTTCTTCATTCTATACCTCATTCCATTTTCTACTGTTTGTAAATCTTCATTTCTCTTTATTAACCAGCAAAGATGCAAAAAAAGGTAACAAAATAACCGATCAACTAATTCCTCCTTTAGGGCGGAAGCAACATATGACAAGTGCTGGGATTCAGCCGATTTGCACTAGTTCACTAGCAATTGTAGCAAAATTTTTCTGAAGTTTGATGAACTGGCTGAATAGACTTCCTCCCCTGCCCTGCCCCCACCTATCTGTCACCCCCAAATTGCATCGATAAAAGGTGGCGGGTGGCTAAGTGAATGGCAGGAAGCCCTGCCATGCCTGGTGAGGGGAGAAAAGATGGCAAGAAGAGCCCACCTTGCTCCACACACCCCAATGAAAGGCAGTAGCAGCCCAGCCACTTCCCTTCCCCACCCTGTCCAGTGCTGGAAGCCAACTGTCAGCCGCGCACCCAGTTGCCCATTTATCCCCACTCTCTGTGTGTGTCTCTGGGGATCACCCAGTGTCACAGTCCGCCACACAGGCCCGGACCTGCCCTGCCATCCTGCATGGGTTTGAGACACCGCTGAAGAAAGGTGCCAAGGACTCCATGGGCCTCTCTCTCTCTCCTCCTACCACTCTGGGGGAATGAAGGCACCACTTGGGGCAAAGGAGTGAGTCACTCCCTTACCTGAGCCTTGGCTTGCCTCCCTCCCCCCACCCTCCCCCACCCACTTGTGCAAACACAACCCCGGTGAGGGAGCCTGGGCAAGGGAGGGGCACCACAGAAAGAGGCAGAGCCTCAAATCTGAGGCATCATGGGGATCCCAGCAGAGCTCATGGATGCGGCCCCTCAAGCACTCCCAAAGAGAGTGGGGAAAGACATGAATGCTTCCTGCCCCAGAGGAATAAATGGGCCTGGATTGAGGGGAATGAGCATTCTCCTTGAACTTCAGAATTTTGAATATGAAAGGACCAATGAGAATTCTCACTTCTTCTGCATTATTGGTCTCCAGGCAGAGTCTGGAAGAAGGAACCGGAGATCCAATTTGAAAGTGAAAAGAGTAAGAGTGATAGAAGGAACAGAAAGTAGCAGAAGGAAAGTAGAAAGTAAAGCTGAGATTTGAAGGAGGAAGAGAGAGTAACACCCGAGAAGACAGAACCATATTGAAAGACAGTGTTTGATGGTGCTGACAGTGAATGACTAAGTAGGATTATTGGACTACCTATTAAGCTTAAATTAAGAGAAGTTAAGAGACTTTGGAAAAAATATAGATTTACATATACTGTTTGCTTATTGTAATTATAAAAGCTATATATTACTCACATACAGTTATAAATACAGTTATATATTTATATTGAAATATTTATACAATTCATATTTGTATATATTTAAGTTCTTATTTGTAATTATATTTTTCCTAATACAGATATTGCTTAATTAGATTGCTAGATTGATAAGATAGTAATAGACAAGTTACTGTTGAATCATTATTCTATTTACTGAACTATTAATGAATTATTACCTAAGATTATTATTCAATAGAATTAATTAATAACGCTTAGTATACAGACTAAAAGGAATTAAGTAATATATTATATATAAGATAAGAGTTTCAAGAGGAAGTTGGACTGAGAAGTAAATATTTGTGATATTTGTACATTCTGGGATAGGTAGAGATATAGTGAAATTAAAAGATCTAAGTATTTAAATAATAAGGAGAATCTAAGAGGTTGGACTAAGTTACAACATGGAAGAAGACAATTAAAATAATAATTAGAGAAATTAGCAGAGAAAAGAGACTTAATATAAATTAATTTTTAAATAAAATATAAAGTGGTTGGTACTGTGGGCAGAAGTAAACAGAAGTTTAAGAAATGTGACAAGTGGCCATAACAACAACTCTGAAAACAGCAAAGAAGACAACATCTAACCCATCATTAACAGTTATATCTCCAACTGGCCAAAGGACAATTGAGGGAATGTTTGGTGTAGAAAAACGAAGTGCAACATCTAATATGCAATCAATACAGACAATGCTGCTGGTGATTCAAGAAACCATGATGAAAGTGCAGGAAAATATGTCAAAGAATCATGTGGAAATGAAAGGGGTCATTAATAAATTAGAGGCCAAAGTAAATACAACACAACAAGCCACCAAGAAGAATGAACAAAAATTACAGCTGGTGTAAATTAGATCAATATAGAATGAGAAGAAATTGGAATTTAGTGGACAAAAAAATGATGACAACGAACAAGGAATTAGAGGAACAAATTATTCATTTGGAGATGGATTGCACAGAGTTCTACCTGAGGTTCCAGAATGTTATGGAAAGCAAAGAGGAAGATCTGAGTATCATCATGGCAGAGCTAATTGCACAAGCATTACAGAAGACAGTCAAGAGATCCTGCTAGAAATTGATGAAGCCTACAGAATTCATACTAGTTATTCAAGACATAATAGACTACCACAAGAAGTCCACATTAGATTTGCTAGGGAAAAAAAAGTAAGGGACATAATATATTAAGATAACGAGGGATGAACCTCTAATATATAAACACAAAGAGATACAAACCTTAAAATCGATCCCAAAGAAAGTAAGAGAACAGAGAAGATATTATAAATTTCTTGCAATGCAATTGATTAAGAGAAATATAATGTTTCAGTGGTTAATTCTAGAAGGGAGTTGGTATCATGACAGGGCTAGAAAACAAAAAAGATACCATCCTAAGAGAATGTGATACAAAAAATAATGGTCTGTGTGGAAATGGATAAATTCACAGTGGAATTAAAAGGCAAGGATGAATCGGACTATTATGCAGTTTAGGATAGGTGGTACAAATGGGCAGAATATAGAAATAAGAATTTATTATAGGTATAAAAGCAAAGATATGTGTTACTAAGGACACAATGCTATTAATGTAAATAGAGACTTGTAATTTTGTTTTTTTTTAAAAGGATTACTTGTATCAACACTCTCCCCCTTCTTCTTCCATTGAAGAATGGCAGATACATGGATCTGATAGCAGGGAAACAAATGTTTGTGGGACTAAAAAAAAGTTCACTCAATCAATTCCAACTTTGCGAGAACTTTTTCTTTCGCGAGAAAAAGCAAGGACAAAAAAATAATAATTCAAGATTATTATGAAAAACTGTTTGAGCAGGAGAAAGTTCCAGAAGAGAGAATTAAACAATATTTGGAAAAAGTAGATCTACCTAAAATACCAGAAACAATGAAAGCCATGTTAAATAGATATCAATGATGAAATTGTCAGAAGCAATTAAGAGGCAAAAAAATAATAACAAAAATAACACCTGGACCAGATGGGCTGCCGGCAGAATTTTATGAACATTTACAAGATATTTTGGGCCCATCAATGCTGGAAGTTTACAATGAAGTACTGTTTGAAGCGAAAGTACCAAACTCGTGGATGGAAGCAAACATTACTCTTATTCTGAAAGAAGATTCAGACTTAATGCAGATAAGAAACTATAGACAAATATCCTGAATGCTGTCTATAAAATATTTGCCTGAATAATAGCAGAGATGTTGAAAAGGTTTTTGAATGAATTTATACATTCAGATCAAAATGGCTTCCTGCCTAAGAGACAGATTAAAAACAATTGGAGAATGATCTTAAATGCACTGGAATATTATGAAGCACATCCTGGAAAACAAATGGCATTGCTTTTTCTGAATGTGCAGAAAGCATTTGACAATGTAAACTGGCAACTTATGTTGTTACAACTAAAATTTATGGATTTTGGGGAGAGATTTATTCACATGATTAAGGCTATATATAACAAACAAATGGCAAGGGTGATGGTAAATGGAGATAGAGAATTTTAATATTAAAAAGGTAAGGATGTCCATTATCCCCTTTATTATTTATATTAACATGAGAAGTGTTAAACAGAAATATTAGACAAGATAAATAAATTAAAGGTATGGAGATAAGAAAGGAAGAGTACAAGTTATTGGCGTTTGCAGATGACTTGATTTTTATTTTGGAGGCTGCACAAGAAACTGGACTTAAATTAATTTTAAAAAATAGAAAAATATGGGGAAGTTGCAGGATTGAAA